GGGACCCCCCCCCCCATTATGATTTATGAGAATGTACCAAACCTGTCCGACGATACATATCGAACTTTATAGCTCGAAGGAACGTTCATTATTCGTAAGATTTTCTGGTTTTCGTGTATATACATGTCTGATAACTACCTGGTAAAAGGAGGCAAGTGCCGAGGTAGATATTTCGGAAAAGTTTCACGCTCCCGTCTGATAGCGCCATAAGAAAGTCATAAACCTAGCATCCGGAAGTATCGAGGGAGGCCTAGAAAGACTTTATCTCGCTGTTTCAGATATTTAGGATGCAAATGGACAATGGCCCTCTCGTTGATAACGTACATGCCATACATAGCTGCCCAATTTCACCCCACAGCTTACACATTGATACCGGCCGCCGTTGCTGTTGGACTGGGTGGTGCTCCTCTCTGGTGTGCCAAGTGCACGTACTTGACGGTAGTTGCGGAAGCGTATTCGAATTTGACCGGTATACCAGTGGATGTCATCGTGGTGCGCTTCTTCGGTATTTTCTTCATGTTTTTTCAATGCGCCCAAATCTGGGGCAACCTCATTTCCTCGTTGGGTGAGCGAATTTATTTATTTAGTACTTACGTTAGTCATATATACAATAGATGACAATCAGTCAACTGATGTTCCAAGCAGCCTCCTCGGGTTTAAGGAAAATTTGGTAACAATTAATAGTAGTCTAGTCAGTCTAGTCAGAATGAATATACCCATTGTCGTGATTTTTAAGGATGCATTTTTTTTTTATTTTTTAACTTTTTCTATAAACTGGTAAAAGTATCTATGTAATTTTTTTAGTCCTGTCAAGAGGAACCTCGAGTGGCAATTCCTCGACCGTGGGAGCCGTCGGAGGTATCTGCGGTATAAACTTTTGTCCGGAACATGCGACGAAAGAGACTTTGCCAGCACCCAGCATAGAGAAGATTAACATGATAGCTTTCATCTATTTGGGATGCATGATCTGCTCTGTTCTTATAGTCGCACTCTTCGTAGATTCAACCGCTAAGTAAAAGATCTTATATATCCCGAAGACCTTTGAGAGGTGGCTTACTTTCTGTTTATTTAAGGTACGATAAGGATAGACGAGGAAGTGGCACAGGACTCACGGGATTCCGACTACTTTCTGTCGTCTTGAAATTACTTAGCCAGAGAAATCAAATTCTTATTCTGCCGATTACAATATGGTTGGGTATGACGCATGTTCTTCTCGCAGCTGATTTCACGTCTGTAAGTTAAAGCTGACTTGGCTATGTGGGTTTTCCATTACTTTTCATGCGAGTTGACAGAGCGCGAAGAGCTCAGAAGCTCTTGCTTTTAAACTCTCTACTTTCGTCTGTCTGAGGCGAAGAGCTTGATGTGTTTAAAAAGCACGTTGAGCAATAAAAGGAAACGAAACGATCTTGGACTTAATGCATTCTTTCACAGGCTTACGTTACCTGCGCCTGGGGTGTCAGCAAAGTGGGTTACGTCATGATATGCTATGGCGTTTTCAATGCCTTTTCAGCCATCACTATGGGTTGGCTGACCAAGATAACTGGAAAGCTAGTGGTAGTTGGCGGCGCCACTGTCATTCATCTTGGATTATTTGCATTTCTCTTGAATTGGATACCGCGTGGAAGGGAGAACGAATTGTGAGAGAAACGATTAGCACAGCAAGTTGTATTGTAGTTTATATTGCTTTTTTTACGTATTTGTTTCATTTTATCTATTGTACAGGTATATACTCCTTCTCGTTACTGGACTCTGGGGAGTTGCTGATGGTGGATGGTATGTTCAGATAAACGGTAAGATAATTCATCACGTTGAATAACATCGACTTTTTGTTATATTTGGAAAAACTTTATCCCGGGTCTTCCATTCGGGCAAGTTTATGAGGTACTTCGGTATTTCGGGCGGTGATAGCTTGTAGTTTTTTCCTTTTTTTTATCGCATCTCAGTCCGATATAAATAATAGGGAATGTTTCCAATTAGTATTTTTACTGAGTGTGTTGAATCGCGCCTGGGATCGACCTACACATTTAACCCTACGCGATAAAAGATTCCTTTTCCAGTTTCATTTTCTATTTCCTCTTCATCCAATTATACGGAACGTAAAGTGCGTACTGTACTTTGGTATAATAAAAAGAGAGCGTAAAGAGAGCCAAGAGTAACATGAGATCTTCGCAATCCAAATGGTTCGTTAAACTCACGCAAAATCGGTAAAACAGAATTGGGTAATTAGGTCAGTGTAAAATTTCAATTATCAAAAGACCAGCGGATAACCCACGAGCGGTGTCTATCAGTAAGATGGGGTTTGCGGTTCCTCTGAAGAGTTGAAAAATTTTCTGAAAAAAGTGAGAAGAAAAAAAAGAGAACGATGCTCCAAATTTTTCATCCATATTTCAATCCCTGGTTTACTAACCACGGACATCAACAACTCTTGAGTCTAACCCTTCTGCGTTAAAGGAATACCTCTTCAGGCCAATTTTTCACACTTGAATCATTGTTGACAGAAATTTACCTAATTTATAAGTATAATCGAAGCGCATCAATGCCATTCTTTGAAATTCAACAGTCATTTATTTAATTGACTCTTTTTTTTATTTTTTATCCTCCTCTATATCGATACTCAAATCGTTCACTTATCAAGATACTGAAATTCTCTGAATCCCTTAGCAGAGATTTGTTAACCGGAATTTCTGTGACGTCTTTCCCTCTGCGTTCGCAGCACCCTTACTTAACTTCTAGGGATTCATTTGAAATTCCAATTTAATGTCGGCGATTTTCTTTTCGCGACAACAATAACAATCCCGTGCCTATAGGTATCATATACAACCACGTACAAAAGCCGTATATCAGTTTAGCTGATGCATCCAATTTTACTGAGTTGAAATTTATTCCGTGTTTTTCTTCCCTTGAACCTTCAATTCTAGTCCATTACGTACCTTAGAACGAAGTTTCGCTACAAATATCTTTACTCAAGATTTCTATCACGCACGTCAATCCTTCTGACAAAGTAATACGGAAAGGTTACAAGCCAAGATTATATCTTTCGATCGATCTTTCCACTTTAATTTTCATTCTTCTCCAGCCCTTTCATTTTTTTTTCTCCATGATGCTTATGTGCCATCAAACGTTCTATTACTTACAGGGACTTAAAAATACGTCAGGGCCGTATCACGTTGAAACAGTATCCGGACGCGTGTTTCCATAGTTCATATTATACGTCGTATTTTTGTAAAGTGACTGTACCTTAAACGTATAGTGTAATAGATATATGTAAAGAGTCAACCGGTTTAAAGAAAAGTCCATTAATGTATTTTTATACGAGGAGACTCAGAGACGCCCCTATAACGATGCCTATGGCAGCAAGGCAATTTTTTAAAATCTCCGTAAGTTTTTCTGGCACATTCATATCCTGTTTTTTGATCTTACAGCAATGTACGGTATCCTGTTTCCCGAACAGAAAGAGGCTGCCTACTCGAATCTTCGTATATGGAAATCATTGGGTTACGTTATTGCTTATTTGTACAGTGCTCAGTTGTGTACGCAAGTGAAAATTTACATTGCGGGTAGTTTGCTGGTATTAGGTACTGCTGGACTCGTCATTGCGGAGCGGAGCGTTGCTCGCAAGAAAAAAGGCTAATTGCGTCAATATTTATGTGTCTTAATATTGAATATATATATATATGTATATATGTGTATCTTCAAAAAAATATTTTTTTACGCGTACCGTACGCTGATAAATATATTGTCGTGATGTCTGTAAACAAATAAAATTTTTATTGTCGGAAAATTTATTGTTGGTATTTGGTATAGATTTTCCACGTTAAAGTATTCAAGTCTTTCTGAACAACATAGACGTCGATTATGATATCAATATTGCCTGGCGGATACAACGCGTATTTCCGTACTACGTTTTATCGATACTTTCTTCATCCAGAGTCATGTTATTCTTACGTTACATAAAGTGCCAGTACTGAAATTGTTACGGAAATGATCTTCTTTTTATGTATAAGAATATATTCCAGGCTGTCAAACTAGTTTTACGTGTGAGCGTATTATGAGTTATAACTACAGTTATAGCTATACTCCAAATGTACGTGCCATTTATAATTTTGTTTAATTTTCTCACTTTTTCGAGTCAACGTAAATTATGCACAACAATATTTTCTGAGTGATCCGAAGATTGGACCAGTCCCTTGAATACTCAAATAACGTATAAAACGTAGAGTAAGCGTGTAACACTGTTTTATTAATCTTTCCTCTTCTGGTGGATTTTGGTAGTTAACCTTGAATAATCTCAGAGACTCAGGTTATATGGTACGGTCGGCATCCGTGCCGAGTGTTAATAAATATAACGAAAATCACTTCCTAGTTCGCTTCATTTAAAATCGAGGATTTGACTTGAACATAAATATATTTATTTTCCTAAGTATATTTTGGTACCTTGGGTATTTTCACTTATTTTAAACATAAGAAGCCCGCGCAACGCTCTGTAGCTGAATCCTATTTTACAATAAAATTTCTGAAAGTGATTCTGTCCTTAACATTAATTCCCAAATCTACCAGAAACACGAAATTCTCCTTGTCTACATAATAAATCATAATCAAAAGCAGCCGTGTCGCCAGTCCTCTAAATTCGTATAGCCTAGTGGCGGGGCGATCAGTGCCCACCATATTTCTTTTATTAAGTTGTCATTCCCCTTTAGTCTACTGTAGACTTCCGTTCCGTCCGAATCTCCAGCCTAACCCAATCATGCCACCGTGCCGGTAACAAGAAATCATCTTATCTCAGCTGCACGAGTAAGTGCACTTATGTTGTCTCTTATTCACTTGATTGTCGCAGTACAGCGACCACTAAAACAAATTGTGCGCGACCTACATCAATATTATATCGATTGATCCTGACCCAGTGCTCATATGAAATTTATTAACCGACACACAGCAGAAGTTAATTATCACTCTGCTTTTGAGAAACTAGTCACGTGCACCGGTGATCACGACCATTTAAAGTCGATTACTCTATTCAATTGACCATCACGCATTTCTCTATTTACGTATATTTTTTGGCCAAGTTAACCCACGCGTCCATACCTTCAATGTCCCAAGCGTTTGTCTCTACACGAAAGAGCTAAAGAGTGTTTTAGCAGCGCGTTACCAACCATTTTCACGTGCTCCTCGACTTGTTACGCGTCGCGTCGACAAAGTGACAGAAGTGGATTTCCGGTTGGAATATCACCAAGTGGCGTTTCCCAACGAGGACGGTCAATTGAATGGAACGGGACGTCGGATGAATTGAAAAGAGCCACGTAGATACAGTATCCATTTGGTGAGTTACCGAGCTTTCGGTATAAAGTTCCCCAATGGCGTAACGTTATATTTGAATACTGGAACGTGTTCACTTCGCATTGTAAAACTACAGTATAGTATCATTGCATGACGAGAATAGCATATATCAGATACTAAGTGAAGTAATGGATGCACGTTTGATGTATGTATGTATACATATACCGGACATTCGCTATTCAGAATGCTTGTATTTAGGAAATACTACGCACATCCTCGCTACTCCCTATTGACGTAGTTTCCAATCTGTATACGATACCTTCAATGCCTCCGTGCGTTACGCGTAATGTTAACGCGTAACCGTGCAATCACGAAGCCCATACGGCTACTTGGATCTGTAGGTTGGGATTTGACAATAGAAATTTTAACCCGACCGTCTTGCCTGATACAATCGGAGCATAAACTGAAAAATCTTGTGGGATATCTGTCATCCTACGGTTCCTATCGATTTATTCAGTGTTTATTAAATTCTCTTAAGGACTTACATACCGAAGAAATATTTTAAATGAATAAGAACGACAGTCGCCCATAACAAGAGAATGTTATTCGTGATATTAATTCTCGATAAAGCTTAATATATAAATATATATTGTCCATAAAGAAATAATTGGCTGGATTAGAAATATTTTTTGAAAGTCTCATTGGTATACAAAATTCGTGGAAAAAAATTCTTATTCAATTTATCGAATCGCTACCGTCCTCATTACCATTCGCGAGATGCTGGCGATTGTTATCTTTCTCAGAAAATAAAAATCCTGCTATTGTCTTCATGATTTTCAGTACAATTATCACATGGGAGCGAGAATAAAATACGCAGGATTTACATGTCCTTTGAGTTTCATGGGTTTCGAGGTCTAACCAAAGGTCATACCATATTATACATTATAAATTGGAGTTTGAATTAATGGCATTACGATCGAGTTTGAATTGTCGTTAAGAATCGATATTATCTGCAATACCTACTCGTGAAAGGAACCGTGGTAGGCTTTTCAAGGTTATGACAAATGCTGCTTTTAGTATCTGCTCTAAATACCAATCTCATATTGTAATACAGTTAAGACCCGCGTATGATCTGTGGACAATAATTCTATGGTCCATAGAATTTGAGACCCTTTGAATTATATAGTTTCTCCGTTACGGTTTGTCAAAGCTTTAGGCTGTGACCAACGTACTTCAGAAATTATTCCCATACGGTGAATCGGCTCCGAATACTCTGCTTTACTGCAAACCTGGTATAACCGGGCATAATAGTTCTATGAATATTCCGATATTTGATGCCAGATTGTTCACCCAGAAATATATTGGCAACATGAGTGTATGCATCTGTGTATATATATATGTTATAGAGACTACATATTAGGCGGTACATAGAGAATGAACCACTCCTACGTCATGTCCTCGACTGAAGTAAACGTTCACCGGCTTTTAACGAGATTGTGTCACGCGAACGTTACAGCTCTTATCACTTCACGTTACAACATTCCAATTAATATTGAACCTCGCTATTAAATAATAACTCCCGTGCAATTGCTATCCCGTTAAAACATACGTGGCGAGAAGTGACATGAAACCTTTGCCTTTATTGTTATTTATCTACACGCATGTACCTTTAGGATTCTTTGAAGATGGCCTTATACCGATTTACATGCATGGTGGTCAACGTGGCTGCGTATAAGGGATCCTCGGAGGAACGTGTTTTCGTGGTGAAATTGGTACGATTGTCCTGTCAATTTTCGTAGATTGTGCCAATGCCAAATCAATGTGTGACATTTCAGATTTATTGTTACTCTAGAAAGTCAACCTCGTTCCCTCTTGTTATTTCTAACTTGCTTTAAGGCAAAGACCTTCGAGGTGACCAACGCGAATACTTTCACGATGGTGATCACTCGTGCGATAAGACTAATTGTATTTTTTAAAATTTTCATTCGTTAAAACATGTTTTGCGCGACAGGGAATGGACGATGATACGTTGATTAAATGCATGCCGATTGTCAGTGTTGAAGATGGGTTATGTCATTGGAATTTTTTTTCTATTATGGATCCTCTATACTCTGTCTCGTTAAGTATGGATTATTTAATGGATAGTCGGTACCAGGTAACTCTGTAGTCTTGTATGGTAACTGCACACATTGGAAAGGAGAATACGTGATCCATGACGGACACGGTGGTGTATTGTAACATATGCGTAATCAATAATTGCCATAACCTGTAGTTACTTCATACCTTGGGTAAATACATTGGTTTCTGTTGTAAACGCATTTCTGGTTTCGTAGTCAAGCGTAATAGGATCATAACGGTAGGTTAAGTGAATTATTGATTATTACATTAGCTCGACAAAGGAGACAACAAGGCGAGCGCCTTGATCATGTTTGAGAGGAAGTAATTGCAGCAGATCAATTTCCGGGATGATTTTGTTAGCATGCGGAGGTAATTAGTCTTTTTTTATTTTCATTCGCCTACGCGCAGATTCTTATCGGTGTTTCATATATGTATGGTGACCAAGAGTCGAAGAGGAATTTTCTGTTTTTCTCTTGCACTTGGTCGAACCACGTGCTAAATGTATTTTTTTTTTTTTTCTGTAATAGGAAAACCTGTATGACGTTTCGCAAACTAGCAACTGACGTTAAATGTGTTGCGTGCATTGCAAAACGTATTAAGTTCATCATATGCATGTTTTACACGTTGTGCGATATTAGAAAATAAAGTTCTTAATATTTCTTTTTTTTTTATGAATGTTTTCTTCTTTTTTTTTTTTATAACGCGCATCCTCATCCACTACCTTGTACTTTCTATTATTTTTTATTTTAGATACTCTGACTATGGAAAACCCGATGAACTTGAAGACACTTTCGATCGGCTCCAAGATGGAGCTGCAGAACCTGTTATTAAGTCTATTTAGTATGACACGTGCAGTCGTATGGATAACTCTAACTTGATTCGCATTGCTTGTATCTCGGACGATCTCCGTCTATTCTCGTAAAGCCGAGGTAGACGCGATAAGCTTGCGACAACGAGAGTTAATAAAAATTCTTACACCTATGAGTTATTAGACTTGTTTAAAGTAAACCTTATGTGGATTGTTAGAAAGAGCTGGCTGGAGCATTTGAACAGTATCTAGTATAACGTACAGCCAGGCGTACGAGGAATAAAGATAACGTCAGGTATTATCAAAAGTTTCAGAATTCGTTCAATTTGTCAATTCAAAGTTAGGAAAGTGAATTTAGTGATTTGACGTGGAGAAAAAAAATTTACATAAATTGTATGTCACAAATTGAAAAAAAATTTCGTGAAACTCTTGACAAGAGGTGCTCGTTTTATAGTAGTTCGTGAGTTTTAATAAATGACGTCTGAGTCAAACGAAATGGCAGGTGAATTCGTGAAAGTGAAAAGTGAAAGGACGAGTTTTCAACCCACGGAACGATGGAGGATAATGAAAAACATCCTGATAATAGGGTTCGCGTTTATGATACATTTTACTGCTTTCTTCGGGGCGAGCAATCTTCAAAGTTCAATCAATGCCGACAATTCCCTTGGAACTTTCACCCTTGCGTCGATATATAGCAGTCTGATTTTCAGTAACATTTTTCTCCCTGCTCTCGTGATAAGGTAAGAAAACATTATCGAATCTAAGTTTTTTTTTTTATCGCAGTCGATTCTTTTATATAGAGTCGGGTCTGACGCGTTGAAATTGCTGATTAATATTTTTACGAGATTGAGCTCTTTAGACCACCTAAAACATTTGGCACGAGAGAAAATCAAAGAAATTGTCTATCCCATTATTTATCAATCAATATATAGTATATACTCTCGTAGATACCAGTTTATAACGTGCTATGCACACTATCAGTTGATAACTACGAGATTAAATTAAATTTCAAATATTAGCTAAGACACGGAGTATTGGACTGAATTACTAAAATCGTACAATAACTGATATCTTAGTTAAATGTAAAGTATATCATCGGATTAAGATATTAATTGATCCATAAATTGAATTTTTTTTCATTCAAAGTGAAATAATATTTTTATTTCTGGTCCTCTCGTTACAGTTGGTTAGGATGCAAATGGACCATATCTCTCACCTTTATCGCCTATATGCCCTTCATCGCGGCCCAATTCTATCCAAAATTCTATACCCTCATACCAGCTGGTTTGGCTGTTGGACTAGGCGGTGGTCCTTTGTGGTGTGCTAAATGTACCTACCTGACTGTGGTGGCCGAAGCCTACGCGACAATTTCCGATATGAACGTCGATGTCCTGGTCACCAGGTTCCTTGGCTTGTTCTACATGTTCTTCCAAATGTCACAAGTCTGGGGCAACTTGATCTCCTCTGCAGGTGTGCTTCTCATATGAATAACTTCTACGGCACACATAGCAGTGTGTTATGATCGCAGTTCGACTCGATAAATTCTATACTAAAGCACTGCACACATATCGTACAGTGTAAACGCACTGCAATCCGCTGTCACAAGATTGGCTTGTCTGACAGCTGATTGATGTGCCAGATAATATACGGACTGAGTGACAGTCAAGTGGATAACCATAATATATTATAATTTTAACTGTCACACAAATCCGAAATAAGTCACTCTTTCGAACTGGCAGTAATTGCATGTTGATTTGCATTGAATTATTTTTTTTTTACAATTATATAGAGGCTGTGAAATATAAGTTTGTAGATTATGTTAATTTTGTTATCATTTTTATTTTTCATATTGTTGCAGTTTTGTCGTATGGCATCGAAGCGCAGGCTACTAACGTCACTTTAAATAGTTCCGTAGTGGCGGAAGTTTGCGGCGCAAATTTTTGTGGTGCAATCGCTGATACCAGTGAAAATCCAAATTTGGCACAACCACCTCAAGAAAGGATTTATTTAATATCCGCAATTTATTTAGCCTGTATGATCTTGGCTTGTCTCACCGTTACTTTTGGAGTTGACTCTCTGTCGAGGTAACTCGTCAAAATAATTTCTTCCCGCGAGCAACGAATTCTGTGTATAATACAAATCATGGCGTGGGCTGCGCTAGTAAAATTTGTCGTTAACCTTATTATTCTCTATTGTACAGTTTTTAATGAATTAAAAGTACTGCAATAATTGGCTACAGTCATCTCTCCCTCTCTTTCACTTAATTCAATTACAGACATTTAATTAAAAGTAAAAGTTTCTTTACTTTCGACATCTTCCATGAGAAGGTATCTCGTAAAAGTACAGTTTTGCGAATGTACAGTCAATCGAAAAGTATAATGGCGTCAATTTAAAAAACATATTAATTCGGTTCTATCATTGAGCTATAGGAAATCATTATATTTTACACGGTCGTTACGTAGCATTTTCACTGCGAGATATTTCCATGGAAAAATAAAAACTCTACTCTTTGGTAATTTTTAATTTGTCGAGAAAATTACCAACCGCGTTCTTAATCATCGTGCAACTTGGCATACTAAAGCAGCGAAGTTTTTTACTAGCTCACTTTTCAGTTTGCTCCCATTTATTTCCTCCGCTCTCCTTCTAACGCGAACCACGCGTAGGATAGCGAAGGCAAAGAACTTTACGTTAAATAATGCAAAACAACTTGTCTAAGACACTTCGTTATTTGTCAAGAAAATCTTTCATCGTTAAATTGTAAGGACGAGGGTTGCTTCATGTTGATATTCGAAAATCCATCATTCCTATTAATAGTTGGAATATCTTTTCCAGGTACGACAGAGGCAGAAAGGGGTCAGCCGCTGGACTTTCAGGCTTGAAACTTTTATCGGTCACACTGAAGCTTCTTAAGGAGAAAAGCCAATTGATGATCTTACCGATAACTTTATTTATTGGTGCCGAACAGGCTTTTCTCATTGCCGATTACACCGCCGTAAGAAATTGTTTATAGTAATTTTTTTGGTTTTTATGTAATTGAAATTTTTTGAAAATATTCCTATTGTTAACCTGCAGTTCTCTTTTTTCAGTCGTACGTCTCGTGTGCATGGGGTATCAGCAACATCGGATACGCTTTGATCTGTTATGGCGTCACTAACGCTATTGCTGCCATTGCTACTGGTGCCGTTGTTAAACATACCGGAAGAATTCCCTTGATGATATTTGCATTCGTTCTTCATATGGGACTGTTGGTTGCTCTTTTATATTGGCGACCGACACCCGAGCAGGCTGTCATTTATTTTCTGGTGTCTGGTCTGTGGGGAGTTTGCGATGCTATTTGGCTGGTTCAGGTTAACGGTACGTAAATCAAACCTATATCTTCCTCTGATACATATATGGCGATATAGTGACACGACAGTGGTATACTGGTATGCTCGTTATTAATCTGGCGAGACTTACGTGTTACAATGTGTCGAGTTCTGCAATCTTTCAAATGGTAATAACGTTGTGCAATGTGTGTGCATGATATATCGCCATCTGGTTAAGAATTATATTAAACAAGTCTCTTTCCTGACTTGTATACCTACGGTGAATGATTTATCCATCTGTAGATAAATGTAATGTGGTTTTAGATATTATATTTACCGACGGAGATATTTATTGACCCAGTAGCGGCTAGTAGTTCTTGCGACAGTTCATAGATGTCACTTTATACTTTGACATTTTTTATACCTCATTTCGGTTCACGCCGCTTATTCTGTCTTAAATCAAATTTTAAGCCACTCCAAAATTTCTATGCTGGTTCAGCATACATCTGGGTGTAGCATACATTTGGTGGCCCCCCCAGTCATCATCAGACAGTAGATTCTGTAAGGGTTAACTCTCATTACTAGTATCTCGTCTTTTTTATTTTTTAGGACAAGAGAATCATCTTCGTTAGTTAGCTACTTTCAAAAATTCGTTTTAACTTGGTTTAAATATTTGCATTGTTGATCTGTTATGCATTTCAGCTTTAAATGGAATTCTCTTTCCAAACAAAGAAGAAGCAGCCTATTCGAATTTTCGACTGTGGGAGGCAACGGGCTCTGTTTTAAGTTACGCATACAGTCCGTATCTTTGTACCTTTAACAAATTATATACTCTCATGGGTATACTCTGTGTCGGAATGATCGGATATGGTATTATCGAAGGAACCGGAAAAGTCAGCAAAGCAATTTCTGGTAATAAAACAGACTTTGAGCTAGTGGCGACAGGTGAAGTGACAAGGTATTAATATTATACAACAAAAGCTCAATATTACCGTAACGTGGTATCCCGGTTTTACGAATTATATTTTTTTAAATCTAAACAAAAATTTGATAGCGATTATAATTTGTATCTCGTAATAATACTTACCGCTTAAGGGGATTCGAGATGTGATATTGTAAGAATTATTTATTCGTAGACAGTACTATGATAAAATAGACAACTGGAGCGATTCTTCTTTCCAAGGGGCAATAATAAAATCTTTTATATAATAACGCGCATGAACTTATGCCCATATGTGATTTGTACCACAATATATGTTTTTATTTTACTTGTGGACACCTACTAGGTTTTACACAGGTATTCGCTTAGTCTAAATTTTTTTTCTCTTCATTAAATACGTAGTTTAATGTTACATCGTACCTATTTTCTAACATTGAAATCTAAAGCTACATTTGCTTATGCTAATTGTATACTTATGTGCTTAACTGCCGACTGTGCTTATCCGTCGATTCGCGAATCGATCGATTCGAGTTTAATTGCAGATGCATGATCAATGATCAGACATCAATCGGTTCAGGTCTATTTCGGCGATAGAAAGGAACACGCAAGTAATAAGTGTAACGATCCTTTCACTGGTATCAGAAGGATTTCTAGGTATTAGACTGAAACGTCATTAATCATTGGTAGCAGTATTAATTAATTCGCATTGATAAAGTTTAATTTGTTAAATCGATCGATCCCGAGTCGTAGCTAATAATAGTCTTTAGCTTCATTAAATTGCTGATTGTATTGTGAATACTAGCTTAATCTGCGTCTCGTATTTACATTCCAAGTTTTTGCAGTCCAGTTTACACTTTATAAAACGTAGTAGGAACTTCGGTTTCGCTGGGCAATGTTTCAAAAACAGTTTCCTCCCGTTACATCGAAAATATTATATGCGATTTCAATCGCGCGTTCGCGTTCCACCAGCGCATAAGTACGGCGAACATTTCTTTGGGTAAATTGTACGTGAACATTTTTTAATTGGCTCAATCGGCTTATTATGCAAGACGCAAATGAATTTGGCTGAAAACTGTTATAAAACATTCGCCCATGGATCTATTCTTCCTTAGAAATATGACACTCACGAATACAATTCACATGTTATTAAATCTGTCTGCATATGTGGGGCGTGTGTGGTGTAACACGTGTGGGATTTGTGTGTGTTCGTTTTTTCCATGTAATTTTAGTTTTCAGTTTTCAATTTTTTTTTTTAATACTCATATTAATATTTGCATAGTGGACCTAGTAGATATTCATTTCACGAAGAAAATACACATGATTTCTACGACTTTTTTCGTTTCGCGTCTTTCTCTCATTTTCATAACAAAATTTAATAACCGGAATATCTCTGTACAAACGTTTTTTTTTTTTAATTTTTATCAAAAAGGACAGCACGCAGCTTCGACGTTATTAGTTTCGCATCGTTTTACATCTTCGGTTTGCTCACGATCAAAATTTTGAATTTTGAATTTCGCACCGTAGCACTAACAATAAGCATAATTCTTTCAGTTTTATTTTCTTTTTTTTCTATTTTCGTGACTCCCAAAAACCTCCTCCATGTTCGTGTTTCCTTCTCGTTTTTCGCACTATAATACAACCTTTAGGAACAAATTACTTTGCTCTTCTTTTTCTTGCGCCTTAAAGTAAAATCCTAAAATATCCTTTGTTTAATTTATCATCTTCTCTCTTTTTTTTTTCTCATCATTAACCATGTAAATTTTCTTTTCATGAGTCAAGCTATTTCATAGCTATGATATTAAAACTATTGTAATATAGTATTACAATGCCTAGACGTTTTATTTACAAAGACTACACTCGTGGCATCGAGTACGATTTAGTAAGTAGTTATACGTACCTGTATATATATACATATATCGTTCTAATTATATGTATATATGTATAATTACAGCCGTTATCTATCCTCTTTATACAAAGTGCTGAATATAGTATGTGTTTACTCAAAAGGACACGATAGAAAAAAAAATTAGGACACTATAAAAGATCGCCAGCGAATAAATGAATACGAAAAGAAAGTCTACTAGAATGTTACGAAAGTGGTATTCGACACTTAAAAGAACAAATCTTAATGTCCTTTCAATTTGCCTATCTCAATATATATAGCATCTGTTAGCGAAGTTTTTCCCTCATTCTGTAGGCAATTTTGTTTCTAATACCTTGTACATAATCATACTATGATAATTAAAGAGAATGGTTTCTGCGAGTGGCAAGAAAAAAAATATATACAAATGTCATAAGGATTCGAGAGTACGAACTGTAAATGCATAAACGAAAAAGTAAAGTTGCAATGGCAATTCTTTAGTTGCAAGAATTCAACGTATACACTTGTCGCATATGGCAGAACGTTGCGGACTGGCTTATTAGAAATGGATTATGCTTAATCGTGTCAACGTGCGATTCTCGCTAAAATCCCGAAACTGGTTATTGATTTTCATGAAATTATCTGCATTGATATCCGTTGCCGTTCTTCCATCATTGAGTGAATGCACTATACCGTTCATGACACAGTATAGTTTCAGATACGTTATTGCAAATTTACTCGCAGTAAATATCTCGTAGTTTCTTAATTAGATAAGTCGCGGAAAACGGAGAGCAGCTTAAAACTTTTAATAGACGCTTCAAAGTGAAAATCAATAAATCACTGAATATCACATTACGATATCATTGATCCACGTCATTTCAGGATTGATCCGGGCGATCGACTCTCCTTGACCTCGAATTCCCATAGGAGAAGAGGAGGTCATAAATAAATACTGCTTCGATTGATTCCTCATCGATTGAGAAATATCGATTAAAATATTTACACATGATACATGATGCGTATACGTGGCGATCACAATACTTGTAGTATACACCGAGTATCGTCCCGATCGTTCAATTATTACGAGATCGACCGCGATCAATCTTCCCCGATGTACCGGTGCGGGAAGATCAATAAGATCTACGAGGATCATTGTAAAAATCTTTTACGCTACGAGTGGGACGATCCCAAGGGCACGTGGTTTATCATTCTCTCTCTTTCTCTCTCCCTATGTCTCGCGCGCGCACACGCACACATACTCGGAGACAGACAGCCGCATACGTTATTATTATGTATTTTCCATCCATCAAATTCGTTCCGCACTAATTAGTCCCTTGAATTTAGTTCCTTTGCCATCATTCTCACGGTATTCTTCTGAGCTTGTCTCTTGTTGCAGAACCAGATTCTTATCACTTCCCTGTCGTATCCCAATTGATAGGCCAGCCTTGTGATTTCAGTACCTGTAACGATAAACGAGAATTAATACAGACACTATTACCAACATGTAAATCTAATTATTGGGATCTATTATGGTGTTGATTGTACGTCGTCTCACCTGAAGGATGGGTGTTGAGATCGAAATGGGCGTTCAATTGTTCCAGAGCCTGAGGAGTGAAGGAGGTTCTTCGTTTTCGCTTCTTGCTCGGTTCCACCCCAATGAAGTCCGTCAGGTGATTAGCGCCGCTCTTGTACCTGGAATCAATCGTACTGTTCTCAGTTAAATCCTGGCAACGATTTCGGCCGGTTGAAATAATTGTAAGGGATTGACGTCCCTGATGATTTCTAACTCGTATGACATTGCCAGCGAATGACGTTGGGGACAGCAGAAGAGCGCGGCCTTACAAACGGTAGGAAAATATTTGGCTGTCGGCGGCGTGTAGCGAGGCTGCTTAAAATTTATGCCTTTAATTTAACTCGGAATGACCAACCGTCGGGCGATAAAAACTACAGCTGGAATTAGCATGGCGCGAGGATATTTCGTCGAATCTGCGAAAACAATATGCTAATGGGGTAACCGGGGTGCGCGAAGGGAACCGATGCTTCGAAAGTGGCAGTACTAGAATGGTAAGAGAGCGAGGAGGGAGATAAAGAGGACGACGGAGAAGGAGAGTGAGAGAGAGAGAGAGAGAGGGGTGGTACTATGGAGAGCAGGGAGACTGCCGGGATATTCAAACGGGAACATAGTGTAAGAGTCGGGCAAGCCGGAGGCTCGAAGGAAGGAAAGCAAGGGAATGGCGAGAGGAGAAGTACATCAGAAACCTGATTTTAATTAGTCCACAGTTTAATTACTCGGCAGATAAATCGTGCACGTGCACCGCATAAACTAGCCGCTTTCATTTTTCCGCGTGGCTCCGGCACGGTCGCACTTAGTTTCTACGTTACGAGAATGCGAGATGGGTCATTGTTTGCAGTTTGCCCAATGTCTCATCTTCTCCGTTTACTGATTCATCCGATCGACTCTTTCCGACATTATTAATTGACATTGCGCCCAGGTATTCTCTTTTCCAGCATCGGCTTTTGAATATGGACAGCTGCATAGGAACGGGGGGAGCCCACTGGTTAATTCATCATAGAAACTCGAGGCAAGACACACCTGGCGGTAAAACGATGCACGATTTCGAAAATCTGATTTGACAATTATTGAATATTTTTCCATTGCGCAACGATGCTCGTAGTCTTAATTTCGCGCCCCCAAGCGGAATTTTATGGAACTACCGTGCTTAATGTTTTAATTAATTTCGGAGAAACTCCACCAGATGGAGCTGTCAAGCGCCTGCGATGGTTCCGGAAAATTCCGATAGTGTCGAACAGCGTAAGATTAGTAAAGCTACTAAGGCTGCAAAGGGTACGCCAGGTACACTCCAAATTACGAAATCTTCCGTAGACTCCAAAATCTATGGCGAGGAATACGAAAAATAAAAAAATATTCAATGTTTGACACGTTAGATTTTCAAAATAGTGCACCGCAAACCGCAAACGTACATCGTAGCTGATACACTCTGTATATGCTAGACGCGTTAGTTTAAGACAGATTCAGAAACGTAATAAGGTTACAAAGAGAAATGCAAAGCATTATGTTGATTGCAGTGCGAAGTATATATACATATAGTGTCTATTTGTAAAATGGTATTCTGTTATAAAAGTCTAATACTAATCCCCGGCGTTCCCTGATCTTCGTTAGAGACACGTTACACACATGTATTCTCTAATTAACATTCCACATATTTATTAGACACGAATCTGCAATTAATCAGCTAGATTCAATTAGTAAATTACCAATTAGCACGCACGCATTCGCACGGCTCGACAGTGCCGCATCGAGAGCAGCTCGATGATGTTTGCTCGGGATTCTATACGATTATTGTTGCTTTTTAGTAGTATATATCTAATACGATAGATATTACGAATTTGTATCGGGTAACGGTAAAGAAAAATCCAACGCGAATCTTTTAGCTGTATATTTCGGGTTTCTTTTTTTCTCTGTTTGGATATACGTGGAAGCTGAACTCACCTCTCTTCCGCTTCTTTCATCCACCTTTCGAGAACCGGCTTTATTTTCTGGGCACTCTTCGGCGTAATATCCAGCTTTTCAAACCTAGAGCCAAGCACACTTATTTTTTTACGCGAACAATCATAGTGCATTTCGTTATTGCGTAAAAACAGCAGCTAGTATTTTCGTTCTTGTGCAGTACTACGCGACAGAGCGTCAGCGTTTACCAGTTATTCTAATATAATTTATTGTATAAATAAAAGAAGAAAGGAATGTCAAAGCATGCAAATAAAAACTCGTTAAACAGGACATTGACAATGCGTGCATGCGTGAGGTTTGGTGAATGCCGCGGAATGATGTCGCCAACGTGGAAATGCGAGTCGAGGCGTTTCAATTTCGCGCTAATATTTCTGCCAAGTTGCGAATCCGATAACGTCGAACTTTTTTTTTTTATCGCAGATACGTGTCCCTCGTGTTTCTGTTCACTTGACGTATATATCTCGTATCGCTCTTTTTTTTTTCCTTCTTTTTTTCGACTCTTCTCTTTTAGACGCTTGCTTTCTTAACGACGCGTGTTGGCGACACCATGCCCAAGCTTGCCAATGCCCTGGCTCGGAGAAAGTCGTTAAAATTTCAGAGAAGTGCTCCTTTTTTTTTGTTCCTCAAGAATATTAGAAAGTAATTGGAAAGTCCGCAGCTATACCCAAAATAATGGCCTTTCGATTGTTCAAGAGCGTTTCCTCTAATTCAAACGTGATTCGAAGTTGAAAATTGATACGAGATGAAAATTCCTAGGCATAAAGATTAAGCAAACGGCGCAGACACGATGCAGACGCAGAACAAGAGAAATTACTAGATCGCAGACACAAAATATGAAATAGAAAAAGAAAATAGATGAAAAGATACAAAGATATGGTAAGACAGACAGAGAATGAGATAAAAAGATGAAAGATGTAGTATTTAAAAAGAAAGTGTGTGCCAGAGAGAAAAATAGCGGCGAGAAGAAGTTGAACTTAAACAAGAATCCGCTGTGCAAATCCTCGTTTTCGCACCGCGTTGCTGCCGGACAGTCGCAACCTCCCAATGGTGCAAAATCTCAGCAAATAAAGTGCAGAAAAAAAAATAAGATACCATAAAAATGTAAAACAAACCAAATAAAGCATCTGCCGTTTTTGCTCGTTCGTGCACAAATAAGACACGCTGGGACAAAGTTGGACGAGAAACAAAAAAAAATGTTATTTCAACGATAACACGTAAAGTCAAGTATATGTTTGAAATACATCTTGGGTATAACTGCAGCCATGTAAATTTCGAATTGGCTCGATCGATTCAAGTAAGTAAAGTAGCGTGAAGGGTGAACGTACATATTTGGCTGCTGAGAGGCAATCTGCGAGGCAGCGTACATCTGGGTAGCCAGGGCACTGGGGAACAATCACCAATGCTTAAGTTAGTCGAGACAATGGGAATCTAGTAACTGATAGAATTCTCGTTTCGAAAAAAAAAAGAAAGATCGTTCAGTACAGTCGCGCTGGTTAGAAACCGAATTATTTTTTCCGGACGCATTCCGATAGATCTCTCTAATGAGCACTGACTTACCGACTTAGTAATTAATTGACTGACCGACCGATTAATTACGTGACTCACGAATTGATTGATTAACGTAAGCGACCGATTAATTAAGTGACTGATTAATTGACTCACTGACTTACAGACTGACTTGTATATAATTCTAAGCACCTGCTTTCGAGCTAGACGGCAGCAACTCAATCCTAATATACACGACACTTTATATGGCTTCGACTTATATCAAGCTATCCGAAAAAAAAAAATGATGATCGCAAATTTATGCAAGGTTGGAATGGACGAAACTGAAGTGATTATAACCTCGTTGAAAATTCAATTTTTTTTTTTTCTTATGTTTAACGAAGCATATAATGAACCGAAGATTTATGATAATTTTAGCCAATTTAATTGTTTATATTTAATGAAATCTAATTCGTTATGCCATTTCCAGTGACCTGGCACATCCTCGTTCCGACAACGATTTCCGAAGTTATGCAATGGTGATATTACAAGGAAATATATATGTATATACATATTTCTCAAAATAGGTAGAATTGATTCTCTATGTTACATTGGCTTACCTGCATATCGCACTTTGACTATAGGCAGGTCCTTCCCTGACGTTAAGGGCCTGACCGACTTGGGTCTGTGTGAGGCCCAGCGATAATCGTTGAATTTTAAAAGCCTTGGCGAATTCTTTGATTACGTCTAAATTGATACCATCCACTACGTTATTGGTAGCCTCGTTGATAGTGGGTTGATCTACAATTAAAAAAAGGAAGCAAAAGGAAACAATTAAAGACACGATAATACGTCCTTTCTCCAATTAGGTTACAACAGCTACGAGGGAGATTACTTGCTGATTTCATAAAAGTGTCGTACAATTGCGTTACACGATTTCACTGGCAAATCCATTGATACGTACTCCCGTTTAATAATGGTACCCACATACATTACAATCGCAAACACTCCGGGGTCTCTGTATAATAAACTGCCAGTCCGGGATGCAGGTCGATAATCATTAATTATATATTAGCCAATTTGATAACTGGACGAGACGAAGCCTTACGTATGGTAGATTCAATCATTGGATTTAAATAATAAAATCAGCGTCCGATACAAAGACCCAATGATTTACGTGCAGTCCTTATAACGCAACGATACTGTATAATAATTTTGCGAAGACGTCTAATGCAACTAAGTAGATCAGTCACACATGTATATGACACGTACGTATATTTATAATCCAAGCAATGGCACTCGTGCATCGTTAAGGACACTGATGGACGATTATTTCATCGAGCAGGAATGACAGAGCGCTCGGGCACGTCGGTGATTGTGAATTATTGGAATCGTTCACGAGCTTCGCGTATTTCGTGCGCAAGATCGGAATCTTTATGGCGACTGCTTCTTCGGAAATAGCATTGCGAGACGCGGCCAAGCTTCACGCACTCCAACATACATGCAAACGTACTGACTGGTCGATACAGTCATTACCCGTGAAATCGGGAAACGCCAGTGCTTGGATTACTTAACGAGGTATACGGAGAAAGTGGTACGATACACAATCATTAGGATATCCGGTGCTTTGATTATAATTAAAATTTGATATTTATAAGCGATAACGAAAGATTCACTTACTCGGAGAATCACTGAGAAGATCATCTTCATCGACCTTAGGACTGTGCAAACTACTCGGCGAGGCCTTCATACCGACGCTTTCTGGTCCATGGGTAGTAGTAATAGTAATTTCACCATTAGTGGCTGCCAACCTATTTAAGGCGGACGCTGCTGAGACGGCAGAACCATTCAGTGGCGACGATTGCTCAGGTATGTCTCTGTGATGCTTTTTCGCTGACTGAAAACAGAAGTGATCGTCAGCGTCGTTGATTGAATAAAAATGAAAATTGATTAGACTCCGCATCAATCATTAATCGCTTACCGGGTAGTGATTCGAATGGGTACTGTGTCGATGACTGTGTTGCTGCGATGACGTCATGTGCAAAGGTTGCTGAGAAGCCTGAGCGGCCTGCGCAGCCTGTGCGACCTGTGCGGCTTGAGCAGCCTGTGCCTGAGCAGCCTGGGCAGCCTGAAGAAGTTGCTGCGGTTGCATGGCGTTCAAGAGTTGCTGACTCGCTGAACTATTTCCCAGGAGATGAGGTAGCGCCCCCGGATTCATCATATTCTGCGGCTGGGCGATCGACTCCAGATTGGCTAAGGTCGTCGAGACGACTTGACCATTACTAAGAGCCAAGTTGACCATTTGATTGTTCGTCACGTGACTGACTGGGATGGTGAGAATAGTCTGCGTCGCGATGCCTGTAAAGTCGATGACGTCAAGGGAGACGCTCTTGAATAAAGTTAATGATAAATCGACTATGAAACGTAGCGCAAGAGGACTCGCGTGGTCCGTGGATTGTTGGAGGATCGGATGGATCCTTAAGGAGGCTTTTCATTATTCCGTCCTGAATGGATGGACGATGGTTAGCGAACGGTAAAGTTATCAGAGCCTCATAGAGAGATTATTAGGAGACCCCATAGGGCAGGTAACCTCGCAGGCCGGCGTAGTTGGCAAACTATTATCGTCGTCTTAATAGCGGGTACCAGGTAGAGGGCACACTGTGCCCGTGGACTGTTGCGAGAAGGACTCCTAATCATACTTAGAATAGTTTCGGGATTACCTCCAGCTTCGCTAATCTGATTACTCTGTACACGCGCTTAATATGATTACTCGTCATGAGTACCGGGCTAACTATAGCTAAGCTAAGCAAATCCCGTATTCCGAACAGCCATAAAAGTTGCACGAAACTAGCGAGGACTTGATATAGACAATGTCGTCTAAACCGCAAAATCATATGATTGTAATCCACGTCTTAGCAGGCCTACGATTCTCGTTTCCATCCCTGAGCTACTGTTCCTTGAATATCATTTTGTTATTCTCACAAGATCAGGTAAGTCTCAATGGAAAATTTCTCGTCTCATCGATATATGGGATTAGACGTCCATCGTCGATACCAATGCAAATATTATTCCCTATGGCGAATTCCATAACGCACACGTATCTCGCTCTGTTCCATATTCTAGAACTCTAATCCACTTAGCCGCAGAATCTCGAAGTTCCCGATTGGCAGAATACGAGGAACTTGGTGGAAACGAAGTTAACGTGGACCGCAATCGATATAATAGTGGCCGAATCCGCGGGATATACGATGTCCAGCCTGAACCCTGCAGGAAGGAGGGAGGCTTGTAGCAAAGGACCGAAGAGCAATCGGGCGGCGGGGAGGGACGGTTCGAAACCAGAGCTTCGAAAGGGGATGGTAGTGAGACGTTAATTATACATTGAAATTAGTTGCAGAGTTTGCCCTCTGCTTGGTTGTGCCAGACTAACGCCACTAAGTATGGACGACGGACCTGCAGGCCTGCTTCGAGAGTAGCCCGAGAGATAGCCGATATTATGGCGCTGCAAACTCGATTGTTTAATATTATGCAGCCGCGCGAGTCCTGATTAGGACGGCTCTCTACGAAATCTGGCAACCGGTACAACCAGCTCATTGTGCAGAGTCATTAGTGCGATGCTCGTTTGAAATTATTGATCGATACTCGTTATCACCAGAGAGGATTCTATACGTTTACGGAATATATCTCAATGCAGCATCTGGTTACCTTGGGAAGTCGGGATAAGTAACTGCGCACCCTGTATGCCCTGAATCAACTGACCGGAAGTCAGGATGAATTGAGGCATCGCAACTGGTTGCGGTTGCGAAAGTAACTGCGGTAATGACTCCATGGGAGCTGTGCTCGGTGGCAAGAGATGAGGTGCGGCTGCTGTGCTGGACGACGTCGGTAACGTTCCTGTCGAGACATTTTTATGTGAGTATGATCAGCCGTACTTCTTGAGGTCTTCGACGTCATGTATTTAACGATCAAAATTAGAGTCTGACGTACCCGATGAGCTCACGGTTAAATTGAGAGGAGTGTTGATGAGCTGATTGTTGGTCAGTCCTGCTGCCATCCCCTGGAAACCAGCCGCGAGGGATGCAACTTGTGGGAGATTCTGCAGACTCGCCAGATTCTGAAGATTCTGCAAGGTGACCATACTGGCCACTGAAAATTTACAAAATTTCAAACTGAATATTCTGTCTCTTTTGAATTTTTATTTATTTAGTTATTTCTTTCAAATGACCACTCTACTCACTTGTTCCATTGAGGTGTGTCTGGGCGGCGGCTCGCGCGTGATCTTTACTCTCGGGGGGCGTGCTTGGTTCTCGCGGTGGTGAATTATTTATACCACTCATCAGCATCTGGTGCTCGTGCAGAGCACCTGAACCAGGTTCAGGACTCCCTGCATTACTCCTATCACTGTCCTGCAACAGGAAGCGTAGCAATTGTTGGTAAAATGTCATACGTGGTAAATTTTTCGTCATCATAATAATAACTGATATTATAGCGACGCGTAACTTCAGAGTAAAATAGCGCGAGGTTCTGGATTCCACTATCGCTAACTCTCATTTGCGCTTTACATAATTTTTACTGGCAGATAATAAAGACCAAACGACACGGCAAAGTGACACGATATTGCCATGCGGCCATTAGACGGAATCCCCGTGCAAAAAGGGTGCTAACTGAAAAATACGATAATAGGGCAAAATAAAGTTTTAATTTACTTCACGAATCTCCGCGTAATGGTAAAAGCGAAAAAGACATTTTTCCGACATCCCCTAAACCTTAGTTACTTTCGTTTTAAAATTAAAAAAAAAAAGTTCACACGTGAAACAAGCTAGAATCGTACAGGCTCGTCATAATTTTTACTAAAATGGCCAATTATACGCTAACCCCATCGTTCCGGAATTTTATTGCGGCAGGGACGTTAAACGCTGAAAATTGATTAATAATCATTAATGCCTCGACTGACGCATGTTCGAACAGCCGATGGCGCAGATTTTCAACGTGTGACGTGAAAGTATGGTACGGGATAAAAATTTAAAAAGAAAATGAAAAATAAAAAAAACCTCGTTATCCTCGTTTGCGCGGTATAATTGAAAGAGCCATAAAAGGTATTTCCCGTGGAATGTAAGAGCGAGTATAGTAATCGAATAAGATTCTACTCGATACGCTGCGATAATGCATGCATATTTAGGCGATTCGAGAGGAATAATTAGCGAAGCGAACAGGCAGAGAGTGCGCTGGTCTTTTCCAGTGGTGAATGTGTTCGTGCATAGACTATGTTTCTGTAGGATCTATAGTGCCCATAAGTTGATATCTATACGGTGTAGGTACAGAGCACTGTACGGTATAGTTCAGTTCTTAGAAGACAATCTAAATTATAATAAATCGATGGTGTACGGGGTTGCGATGCTTTACTACCTATCCGTTCGGTACTGTGTGGTATGGAGTGATGTTACCGGCGCGGCCTCTTTGCATAATGGCATGGAAATATGCCGGAACGTGTATCGCCATAGTTAGATACAGATTAAGCGTTTTAGAGCTCGGGTAGCCGGGAATTCGGAAAAGAGTCGCCGACGCTGTTGCTGTTACCTATAACGTTGTCGCTGGATGACTCGCTATGAATAAACCAGCAATACCTTAGCTCTCGATATTTTCATCGCCCGACGTAGACGTTGAAAACGTTATGGCAAAATCACTGGTTTTTCTTGTTAATCAGAGCTTCGAAAAAAAGTACACATAAATTCAAGAGTTTGATTTTCAGAAGAAGACAAAAAAAAAAGTTGAATCAGTCGCGCTGGATTGCTATACATATATATATATATTTTTTCGACAAATAAGAAAAATCGTTGAAATTTCTATAGAGGACTGACGAATGCGCGGCTATTGGTTCTGTATGAAAAAATTAATAGTGAAAAACGCGCAATGAAAAAGTGCAGACGAGGAGAAGCAAACGGGAGGGAGGAGGAGCAAGTTCAATTTTTCGTGTAAATTCGTAAACGGTGGACAGCGAGAGAGACGGTGGGTATCGCATATTAAATGGGACGGTGCCAGAGGGATTAGCCGAACGGCTCTGGACGCGATTTTGCTTGTAAAAATGTGCGCGGCCATTGTAAGCCGGAGAAATGTATGTTTACGAGCGGGCAGACATAAAAATAAATTAATCAGCCTGATTGGCCCGTAAAACGGAGCTCGGCTCGACGGCCATGGAGATTCGTGGGATCGAATGCACACGAATTGTGTGACCGGGATAGGCAAACGGTCAGGCTCGTAGTGAGAGGCGCTACGTTAATTCTCAGTAGCTACGGTCCCATTTAATGGCTATATCTATACGGCTGCAGTCAGAGAGAATAGGGTAAAGAATGATACGCAACGAAACCGTAACCTGTACACCACGTATCGGGGAGGCGCAGTAACGCGTATTATAATACTGTAAATTCGTATGGAATCGTTGGCTGTTCGATAGTAAAAAATCGTTAGCGCGACGCTCGAGTCGTCTCGCTAATGCAAAAAAACGTGGCGGGTGTGGTGGGCGTGGAAAAAAAAAAGAAAAAAAAAAGGAGCGAGAGAGCAGGAGAAGGAATAACGAGTGAACAGAGGGAAAGAGACGGAGAAAGTAGAAATGTAACAATAAACATTACTTATCGGTGCCGCCCTTTAGCAATACAGATACGCGTCGGGCGTACGCGCTCGCAAAAACACAAGTTTTTTGCAATAAAGTAATTTAACCGTTTGAGTTATGGGTAATTCCTATGGCGCGGCTCCGGGTCCGCCCATTGATTAGTATTAATGACTTAGCTGCACTCATTTCGCCCGAATAAAAGTAATTGGATTTGGCTTCGACCCCGGCGGGCGCAACGAAACCGTGCGCGCGTGTAAAAATACATTAATATCTGTTTGTGCTTAATAAACGATAGCTAGCGGACTTTAGACTAATGGCCTTATTCCTGAATCGGTAATTCGTAAATTTTACCCTACAATCGCCGTTACCCAAATTTCCATCCCTTAATCAACTACGCGTATGTCCACCTTGTTTCTTATGTAGGTAAATATTGATCACGTCTTTTGAAAAAGATAACTCAACATAATGCAAATTCTTGATTGTCTTTACTGATACATTATTTATTTAAACGATTCGAATTTTTAATTAATATATTAAAAATTCAAAAATCGTTACGTCACAGCAGGTTTCTTTAATTAATATATACATAACGCGAATGACGAGTTCGCATTGAGCGAGAATCTAGCCAAAATCTAGGGAGGGTGGTTGCAATTATCACGTGGTCATTGCGAAGGGGTGTTATCGGGACTGGAGAGCTGACCACCCCTCGACTGGGGTCCGCTTTGTCTGTAAGTGTAATTAGTCCAGGGTGGGGTTTCTGGCTCGCTGAGGGGTTGCGAAGCTAGGGTGGTTCATCCTGGCCCCCCTCCCTCCCCCCCACCTTATTTATATGCAAATGAGCTTCATTTCGCGATATTAATGTTCCACCCGAGTTGGCCGAGCCGGCGCAAAGGGTGCGCGAGTAGGATACGTGGAAAAGGGTTCGTACGCGTTCATACGTTTATGGTCGTTTCATTTGGTACCCGTGGCTATCGATATTGCGTAAATACGTACAGCTCGGTACTACGGTAACCCACCCCGTACAATATTAAGCCAACCCTGATAATACAATATATATACAACCTACTCGATTCACCCCTCTTTGCCATTCCATACAAAAGCTTTCATCCCCTGATTCCTTGAACAGTTTATATATTCCACCCTATACTTATTTACCACTTAATTTTTTCATCCTTTGGACGCGTCTCCCTCTTAAATTACGGATTTCACCCATAGTTATCATCCAGTCAGGGAACTAGTCAAGAGTTTATCGCGATTCTCATTCACGAGGACGCATGAATATTCAGCGACACGCGGCACTCCGTTAGGTTTCGCGGAAGTCGCGCGCGACGCGCTTCGTCAAAAGAAGGGCAAATACGAAAGCCGATTAACACAGCGCACGGTCACGCCGTGTTACGCGTTTGAGTTATAAGTCGCCCGTCTGATATGATTAAAGATTGCGGTACGATGAAAATTCATTAAGGATATCTCTGCGAATATTTAGTTAAGTAGTACGAACATTCATGCCAACCAGTCATATATCTTACGGCGATCAATAAACTATCAATGCAAACGCTACAAGCCTTGTATATAGGTGCATGGTAATTTTTACGAGAATGAAAAAAATAATGAAAATTTAAAAAATTGTCTTTTTAATTCGCAACGACTCAATTCGAGTGTTCTACTTCTCGATGATTAATTTAATCCAACGAATAGGAGACTCGAAAACTTGTTATCTAATCGGATCCTCGACTACTCGCTACACTGTATATCCCGTATAGATAATGACCGATTTATCGTAACGAGTAGAGCGTGGAAGTGGGTAGACAGACCCCCATCAAGCCCCAGTGGGGTAAATTAACAACAGACGAGCCACTTGAAACATTACCGAGCCTTCCTAGCGGAGCAAGACGGGGGAGGGTTCACTGTTACCTTACTCAACATAAATTAGGAACGATAGAAAGGGTAGATTGCGACTGTTAAGTATAACGACCTGCAGTATGAAAGCAGTGCCCGAAGGATTCGCGCTATTTCGCGAAATAGCGAATAAGGTAGCGGGTTCAAGGTAAGTAATGAGGATGATAGGGGTGGGAAGGGAGGGGTTTGAGAATTTCTAGAAATTTAATAGTGGGCTAATGACAGTAATTATTCTAGACTCGACGGTTTCAATTCCACGTGTCATTAATAATTCAAGAGCGCTATAATTATTGGCGATACAATCGATTTATTTTGTTGGTACTGGAGGAAATGGCTGTTACGTAAGACATTGGAGTCTGCGTTACATAAAATTTCATATTTTTGAACATTTTTCGAGAAAGTAGGACTATGCGATTTTCCATGTAATCGTGGCAGGAGGGATACTGAAATTACTAAATATTAAAATTAATAACCATTGATCATTAGCAATGCGGCTCTCAAACTGATAAAATTCTGGTTAACGAAGTGCCACGAAATTTCACTTGTAAATCAATGGTTCGTTATATAGCTAGATATACATAATTTTAAAAGATTACTTCCTTAAGACAGTCTAAAAATATTTTCTTAAAAAAAAATGAAAAATTTTCTAAGTATTTACATTTTGCAACGTATTAATCGACATTGGATTGCATAATATATTTTGCCAAATTCAAACGTAATTTGCAATTTACTTAAATGAGTATTATACCTAAATGAGTATTATTATATTGGAGTAATATAATTTCGCGTAAATCTATTCGTGTTCTCGTTGTTGAGGGTAGTACAGTGGTCGAAAGGGTTGGTGCGAGGATGGCTAAGGGATGAGAGTTAGAACATAGGGAGATGTATATATAGATATACAGT